AAAAAAATAAAGCACATTCTTTAAAAAAATATATATTAATTTTTGTCGCCAAACCCCACCTTTCTTTTTTTTACCTCCCCACCCCCCCCCCCCCACCCCCTGATGAAATCCCCCCCATATATTGTAATTACCAGGTTGTCAACTTTGGTCAGCTGACTGGAGTTAAGTTTTTCAGCTTGAGACAAGTCTGCACACTCATTTACATGTACGCAAGAGTTTTATTACCTTGTAAATAATCTTCAGGGTTTGCAAACTGCCCCAATGCTTTTGGCGTCGCTAATTTTAGGTTTGTAATGAATAACACAGATTCACCATAAGATTTCACGTGTGAGCGTGGGAGTCTGAAAGAGTCACACCAGATGCGTGAGAGTTGGCAGCCCAGGTACTGATTACGCAGGACACACATCTGTGGTAGTAATCTCCATTTTAATATCAATGTCATTAATTGTTTTGGGAGAGAGTGTGTGGAAGAGATAAAAGACTGGCAGAAATGAACAACATACATGTGTTTAAATGCATGTTTAAATATTTACATGTTGTGACTCAGTAGTGTGCATGCAACTGAGAGGAAGCTCATTGTAAATTAACATAGTGATGTCGTTTCACTTTTCCTCGTTTTCGTTAGTGACAGATCCGTGATTTAATGGTTATACGTACTACATGCGAATCCTATCTCAGCTTTATCGTGTTCTCTCATTTATCGATCATCATAGTTTACGTTACCTGTTACTCTTATGGTAAGAATATTAATTATTAGCTTCATACAGATTTTATTCATAGACTGCCAGCCACAGTTTTGGCTAATACCAATACAGTGAAGAATATTCTCCTTTATATCACTGCGTTTAATCCAGTACATTAACTGGTCGGTACAACATTCCTTGCAGTGACATACATTTATTAACCACACACACACACACATACTGTAGTAGGGGCGGTGCCGTAGTTAGTATTGCTGCTTCACAGCTCTTCTGGGACCATCAAAATATCGCAGTATACCGTATTATCGTTATATAGCACAAAAATTACCAAACATACTCAGAAGTTGAGTGTCTGACTTGCCCGTCAATAACGAACTTTTGATTAATTCACCAGCCTCATTGTTTTGACTGAACAACCTTCCAGCGACGCCTGAAACCTGAACTGTTCAGTACATGAATCCTCCTTTTTTTTTTAATAACTTACACATTTCAATTCCACATCATGCCACAATGGATTTTTGCTCCATCACTCCCTCTACCCAGTCTAGGCTTCTCCTGACAGAGTCATTACTCTCTACAGCCATTTAACACACATATTATGACAATGGAGTTTTTTTTTCCCCAAACCTTTCTGCTTACAGCAGAAACCGTCAAACTCGACCGGCGTGTTTTGGAAACAATCAACACAATTACTGTTAAGATGGATTAAAAGAAAGGGTTTATTTTCTAGAGAAAGTTACAGCATGGTGAAGAAAAATATCTGAAGGCCTTTTATACAATTAAGAGTTTCTTCACTGCGGTGTTTTAGGCCGTCTTATTTAAGCATGTCTTCACATAGTCTGTTAAAGCTGGTTCCTTTTTTTTAAAAACGTGTAATGGGAAATAAAGTAACACCTGAAAGCAGGAAAAGCAAGTGCTACCTTCCTGCAGACTCAGCTGTGTATGTGCAAGGACACGGAGCCAAACCCTAAGGCCATTTCAGGGACCAGACGCTAGTTTGTCAATGATCTCCTAAAACATAATCTCCTGAAGCATCGATACTAACTATACATAATTATGAACAAACGTTTCAGAAAAAAAATTTAAAACCTCAATTGACGCCACCTGATCTATATTTACTCATATCAATTTTACTCATATCTTGCCAGGCAAGGTATTATTTCTCATCAGGAACGGGATGACTTGATATGAATTCAATTAGCAACACACTTTTCTTTTTCATCCTTATAAGAATTAAAGTAGACAAGAATTGCCTTTCCCTGCAGATGAAACATGGTTTCTATGGAGACCTGTAATATCGCTAAAGCAACTTGAAAGCTAACTTGGGGAAGGGGGGGGGGGGGGTTGTCTAAATGTAAAGCAGAAGTTGTTTGTTTGTGCGCTACAGGAGTCCCCCCCCACCCCCCAGTGTCACACCCTGCCTTCCTCTGCTGATTACTTAATTAATATAACAAAAGAGGAGGCGTGAGAGGCAGAGCGACGGGAACGACCCGCTTCTGTCGTAACAGACAAATCTCTCATCGGTGACTAAACGGGGAACGTGGCGATTCTCTGCGCAGACAGTGCCGGCACAGGCCGGGCCAGCAGATGGGCGAACACACAGCTCCGCGTTTGAAGTGCCGACAGAGCACTGCACAGGCTTCCTTTGGACAGACATCACATGCTGGGACACCAGAGCCGAAATGGCCGACCATGTGCCGGGCGTGACAGCGCTCCGAATTTTAGCATACGAATTGCTACCAATATGAATCCGTAAAATTACAACTCTTAATAATGATGAACAGCATCACCAAGTAGACATTTCTTGAAGGCCATGGCAGGGTAGGGGTGGCATTTAACTTTAGAAATTTTATAGAAAGTCATGTGGCTCTGAATACTAACTGCAAAAGTTCCTTAGAGGGCGTGACAGTATGTAGCAGGCCGACAGCGGTGAGTGACAGAAAAAGCACAGCAAAGGTGCAGTTTTCTGAGCACAGTTAGGGGGCGCTGTGTCACACATAAGTGTTAAGCTCTGTGCCTTGAGTGTTAAGGTGCACATAAGGCACCGAGACCTTAAACTGCTTATGATTTAATACTGTATTAGCGCTAACAAAGGGTGCACGGTATAAAGACTGTACGCTACTTGTGACCCATTACTGTACTTCTTACAGAATCATTTGACCTGTTCCTACTTCGTCTTATGGCTGGTGGTCCTGCAAACTTACTAATGAAATATATCAGCATACCCAAAGTTGCTCATAAGTGCAGCTGCTGTTTCAGTATGACAACTTTAGAAAAAGTAGTAGTAAAATCTGGCAATTGAAATTCTGGGTTCTTAAAGTAATGACCAGTTAGTGTTATAGCTTTCCAGAAAGGTGAAATGACATTCAACTCAAACTCAAATCTTTCATCCAATATTTAAACTACAGAGAGATTCACACATACATCACACATGAAAATATAATTCTAACAGCACTGAAGGTGAATGTTTACAAAAAACAGAAGCTAAGCTCTTATCAGCCCTGTTTTAACAACATGTTAGCACAGGCTTACTGCCCACCATAAGCTGTCATGAACCACAGTGCAGCATTAACTCCACATTCTCACGCTCCTTGGGCATGGCAGGCCTGCATCATGAACCACAGTGCAGCATTAACTCCACATTCTCACGCTCCTTGGGCATGGCAGGCCTGCATCATGAACCACAGTGCAGCATTAACTCCACATTCTCACGCTCCTTGGGCATGGCAGGGCTG